TCCCTGCCTCAAATAATTAAATGTGCGCCGTCTATATCCGTCAGTTTTCATTATCTTTACTGTTAAGTTTGGTGTGTGCTGTCGGAGGAAGTCGGAGGCAGTTTCACGAAACAGCATAAGAGAAGCTTCGTAAGATTTGAGATTTTCACGGCGGTAAATATGTCGCGGTGTCGACTCCCACGTAGACACCAAGGTACCAGCATTTCGGAGAAACATATTGTCTCCATCTTCAGGGCTTAAGATGGAGACAGGATTCTTCTCCGATATTTTGGTATCTACCCACACAGGAGCTTTTTAATTTTAAAGATTCGCCATGTATGATTTAAGCGGTTAAATCAAGGAGGGAGAGATGGGCGGGGAATGTAGCAAGCACTGGAGAGATGAGAATCCATCCGAAATTTTAGTCGGAGATAATGAATGGAAGAGATTAGACGGGTCGCCGTGGGCTTTCAGTGGACTAAAGCCGCTCAGCTGTGAAGGTTGGATACGACGTCGAAGATAATAGTCTTCTTGTATTAATAGACGCTGCCTTTTCTGACCCAAGTCACACATGTGTTTGTATGACAGGGAGACAACGCGTGCTGAAGAGATTTTGTATCGGTTTACGAACATTCGCCATAACGAACGTCACAATTCATTCAAAATTTCTTAAAGTCGCCAATAGATAGAGTTCCTTATAAAACGTGTTCTTCTTATTCTTCTATGGCTCTCCGGCCCATATTCGGTTCATGGCCTCCTCAATTCTCCTCTTCCATTCGGTCCTCTTTTAAGTCCGTCTGCCAAACGTATAGTGAACATAATTAAAATAATTATCAGAAAATTATTATATGATAATTATACTGAACTGTTCTTGGTTAATAAAACTAATCTAGCCAATAAAAAGATGGTTTAAATGCCACGCCTCGTAGAATGTTTTCTCGTGGGAAACAAATCGGTGTTTGCCCCTATTATAATATAATAGGATCATCATCTGCTTGCGATGTTTAGTACGTGATTTTAATGCTTTAAAATGACTGCTAACGTATACTATACGTATCGTAAAAACTCAGGAATGCAAGATACACATAACGAACAACGTCTTGGATCGGAACTCTTTCGTAAACAGAGAGTTGCCTGTATTGTTTAGTTTTAACATAAAATCTACGAAAATTATAAAGACGGATGTGACTATTACTCCACTGCCTTCTTGTATAATTGCAGTTTTGTCGAAAATACATCGCCTTTTGGTCCTGCCCTCCTTTATTCACTATCTCACATGAATATACATCGTAATTTCACACGTATCAGTCACGTTGGAAGTCATGCCGCATTGTCTGAACAGTGAAACGAGATTTTTTGACCACTGACGCGAATGAGTTCAAGGCCAAGTGTGGACAAACTTCTGCGTGTGCAATCCCAGTTTACAGTCACTGATATATATCTGTGCCTTTTGTACTATAAGAAATGTCACTACTCTGTCCCGTTTAAAAGATACGGTTTCGAATTCACTTTAAATTAGGAATTTCGCGTATTTAGGGTAACAACAATCAAATCGGCCTCACGTGTTTCATTATATTATTTATTATTTAGTGTTCTGTCTGACGACAGGTCCATATGAACAGGATCCTTCCATCTTTTTCTCGGACTGGGACCTGTTCATATACGTTCTTGGCAGATGATCCAGAAGTGGTTTGCCATTGCCTTCTTCTGTGTGTGAATGGAGTAATTGTTGGGATGCCACAGAGGAAAACTCCGTGTTGCCTAGACCAAGGCCTTGCCCAACACAAGTTATAAATCCAGGCCCCGCCGGGAATCGAACCCGAGACCCCAGGATTACAAGGCCAATGTTTGTTTGTTTGTTTTTCTCGTACTCCACCAGACTTTTCATTTAGTAACGTGCATAATGGATTTTCCCCTCCAGAACCTTCGCTTGTTTCTCGTATAAAATGGTCCGTGCACAATTCTGACTTTAATTAAATTCCTACGCATTTATATTACTTTGTATTTGCAAAGTCCTGAACTTCATAATATAATCGCACTACAGATGTCCACGGCGAACGGACAAAACGAAGCTGTAGGTAAAATAGCTTGACCACTGAGACGTAATGAAAGATTTTCTGACTGCAGCTGGTACATGAAATGTTGACTGTGGAATATTTATTAGTTGACGGGGGGTTTCCTATTTCGCCAATTCTTTTATTTAGGAATTTCATTATATACCTTTCTAATTCCAAATTTCTCGCAGCCCTTTTGAGTATTTTGGGAGACGAGACATTCAATCGGCGTAGTAGGCTTCACCTCAGTGCCATGCGAAGAACGCCTGATGCTTTTGATGTTAAAAAAATTTTTACTCTACGTGTCCATTTTTAAAAAAAATTTAAATGGTTTTAAACGAATAAGGAGCGTGGAACTTGTTACAGGGACCCAGAGTAGGGTACAAGGGATTCAAAGTGGCCTCTCACCAGACGACAGTATTTTGGCTGACGAGATCCATTCCTTCGCTGTTTCTCACTGACTGAGTTCACCTGCACCAGTATAGCCTGAAGCTTATGTTAATCGTCTTTTTTCCTGAATGAGCCCCAACTTTTTATTTGAATGTGGCGGTAACACATCTTCATAACTTGTCTATTTTAGTCGACTTTAATGAATTTCCTGTGCCAAGTGCGACCAGTGGCACATTTTCCACCTTCCAGATGTACAATCCCACTTAACTGTCGATATGTCACGCGAGTATCGACTTAAAGTTACGACTGTATCTAGTGATTCCGTTGTTTTTACAGTTGACTGTCTCTTAACCCTTGCTTAGTTCATGTAGCACGGAATTGTATGACGAATCAGTGGTCTGTAACAAAGAGATGAAGGCCTATGTAAGGTACCAGACCTATCGGCATAATTCGCGTCGAAGAGCAGAGGCAAACCACGAAGAATCCCGACCTATTACTGGACCGCTATGGTTGACATATTCAATGAAACTAGTATTTGATATTATCCGCGTATTCACGTATGCACATATTTATAAAAAGTTTACAAACCGTATGAACGATTTATGAGTTTGTCTACGCGATTCGTTAAACTCTGTTATACGTTAAAAGTATCCTTTTAGACGGACTGTTATTGTCTTATATCTGCATAAACTATGTTCGTGTACGCGTGGTAAAAATTCTCTTAGTTAAAACCTGTCTGTCAGAACTTTATCACACGCAACAGTCGAATGCTGTTAGATTTTAATTAACCGTTTAAATATTATTTCAGAATTCAGTCCGTACCGTAAAGAGAACACAACATTTTACCTTTACAAAGATCAACTGGTTAATTCTGTTTAAGAAAATAGTAGCTGTTGATTTTGAGAATCGTCCGAAACACATAATACAAAATGCAACATTACTGATTGTTAAAGCAGGTGGTACATATAGTTACCAGCGGGATTTAAATAGTTAAACGTTGGCTCCATCTTGTAATTAGAATCGCAATGCAGTTTGTGACGTTATGACATCACGCCAGGCGCATCTCAAGTCTTTACTGTATTTACCGTATTAATGATTGCATTCTAGTGGAATAAAACTGTTATAATGAATCGGTTATCCTTGCGTTGAAGGAAAGAAGATAAATTCTTCTACCGATAGCTGGATCAGACTCTTCGTAACACGTTAAAGATGAGGAAATCTCTCAGAAATTGAGCTAGCGAAGTCTGCCACTGCTGAGTCTAGCGTTCCAAGAAATTCGTCTATCTGTATTCGTACCACTGTTTACTATAATACTGCTGATGAATCAACTGGATTACAGGACAAAGTTAGTACGAAGTCAAACAGCCAACCCTCGCACCGAAACTCACAATTCTGTGACATACAACATTCGTTCGTGATCACTGTGGTTTGTCGGCATTTCCATAGAACTGTTATACGGTGCAAGTTCTAGTCACAAACAGGGCACGGGATTCTTTCTACCTGGTTCAAATCCCGGGAGGTGCACTACCTTGACTGCCATCTTTTTAATTCACGACCGGTACCTCCCACAGAACCGACGACAAAGCAGTGTGCCCATCCCATCTTTGTCTCTTCGGATCAGAGCCTCGAACCTCTGTCCAACAAGTGAGACAATGCGCTGTGAGCAGAACTGGGAATCTGTCTGTCTGCGATGATTTCGGATCAGGATAAAATTCCTCCCGGAGCATCTCGACTGCGGGAATCCAATCGAACACCATTCCCTCGATCACCAGGCAACTTAAGAAAAGCTGAGATTAAGATGCAGAGAAAATTTAGTGATAAAGAAGAGTCAGGTGGACCAGTAGTGTCTGTTGACAGATTGATTTAGAGTGGATTCTCCTTAACTAATCAACTCCAGGACACAGAGTCCTTCTTCATGAACTTATACCACGCTCAGCTACTCGAGACATCGCGTCTTTTGTGGAACCAGACGATTTAGTACCGTATTGACAACAGCCCGCCACCGGTCATGACCCAGATAAAATCAGTCCGCAACCTTCTACATTTTTCCCAATCATTCGGTTAAGTATTATCATCCATCTACCCCTAGGTCTTCCGAATGTTTTTTTACCTTCAGGCTTTCCAAACAAAATTTTGCACGTGTTTCATATCTAACCCACCCGTCTTGGCCCTACGCCCATTTCATCATCCTGATAATATGTGGTAAAGAATTTAAATTATTAAGCTTCTCATTAGGAAGTTTTCTTCGATCTCCTGCTACGTCGTCCCTCGTAGTTCCAAATATTCTCCTAAGCACCGTAGTCTCAGACTCCGTTGTCTTGATACTTTTTCCAAAGAACCAGACCAATGCAGACTCCTGACATTCCAAACGGTGTTCATTTTGGTTGAGTCGCTCGTCCCGAAGAATTCGTCAAAGTCCGAGGCCGCGTTTAACATTTCGTGTTGTGCTGGGACTTGTTAGTCCCCGCACAAACCTCAACTGGAGGACATTCACTTGTCGGCTGTCCGCGACTGGTTATTCAGGATATTCTCAGGCCTTCAAGTGAACTCTCTTCACAACCGTGAGTATCTCGCATCTAAAGAAATGTTAACTTCTTCCCCCACAAGTCAATGTTATATACAACGTCTGATTACTATTATCTGAACCAGGAAAGCACGCTGACCGGACTTAAACATTATCTGTGCTACCAGGCCCAGGCTCAGGCCTGGTCTGGATCTTTGCAGACTATAAGCAGTGAGCGAATCGTCCGTCGATAGTGGCAAGTATCCACAGTGCAATGCAACTAAAAATAGAAGTGAACCAAAGAGCTGAACGCAGACTGGAAAGTTTACGAAGGTAAGAAGTGATATATCTAGGATTTTTGTATCTCTCTTACCCTGATGTTGACTTTTAATTCTGTCTAGTTGATTATTCCCCCTTTTAATGTTTCTGTTTGACTTCTCGATTCTACATTACCACAGATTGATAGAACGCGTTGTTATTATTATTCTTACGAACTAATAACATGGTTGGACTCAGCAACCATAAACTGGCTGTTCATCGGTTCTTAGAAATCCGTATTCTGACATTATAAATAATATTTGCTGCGAAATGCATTGCCTCATTTCGCCAAGCGTCAACAGTAAACACTCCGTGTGCCCGGTGGCTTAATCCAAGAAGCCAATTTCGACCGCGATACAGATAGGAGTAGATGACGTGTTTCGCAATGCTGTTTTCTGGGTTGTTGCATTGTGTATTCTGATGCAAGTTACCGACGTTTCAGAGGTACTTGCCGCCTCTACATCAGGCACTCATCACCCTGTTGATGGGCGATATACAACAGACTGACAACAAAATAAATATTTTTGAAAGAGTTGTCATGCTATTTGGCGGTTCTGAGTGTACGTAACATCGCCACAGCATATTTAGTTTGTTAACGTTTGTTTCAATGTTACCCTCTGGCCCACATTCCCGATTTTATCCGCACCATGTTTTCTAGCTAGAATGATTTTAAGTCCTAGAGTGTTTTAATGTTCTTTAAAATCTTCCAGTCGAACTTCCGGATTTATAGAGTCTGATGTGAGTGATTTGTCAGATCGACACGAAATGACGTGCTTTCGGATTCTAGTGCGCATGCGCAGGTCTGTAGTTGCACGGGAAGTATAACACTGGATCCTTTGAATTTTGAAGCTGATGCCATTTCATCGATCCCTGTAGCAAGGCCTTTTTTATTTATTTATTTTAAAAAAAAAGCTCTGGCGCCTGTTGAAAAGTTGTTTTACAAGTTTACAGAATTTCAGGACGAGCAGGTTAACAAGACGAAACAATTTCTTACTTCTCAGAATATGCATTTAGAATTTAAAAATATTCTCACCCGCTGTGACGGTACAAATTTCGCAAGAATAGATACACAGCTTTCACGCATATCCCGATCATTGACAGATCAATCTCAATTCCCCTTGAATCAAGCGTTCGTACATTCCCGACCATCTTTGTCGGCAGACTTCATTCAAGGTGTTACCGATTACCCGTGTAGAACGCGGACTGCCCTGTCAGTTGAACATCCGGCAGTGACGATGTTTCGTAACTATGAGAAAACTGTATTTCCCCGATTATGAGGATGTTCGCCCGTGTAACAAAGCAACGCCACGTGTATACTTACGTGTGTCTTGAAGTGCGTGGTGCATGTTCCTGGCACTGTAAATTCCACACACGCAACTGAACTGAAGCCCGCTCTATTTGCGAGCAATGCGGCAACTCTTATTGCTAAACTTTGTTGTGGCTTCAAAGTCGCCATCAACAAACAAGGATGTTAAGAAATGACTAACATTTACTCACCGTGTGATGGCAAGAAATATTTGTTAGCCTAGTTTACTTATTTATAATGAAAAATCGGTTTATGCTGATGTCAAGTCCCATTTGATAATCATACCACCAGAGGGCGGTCCAGGCAGTGGGTCATTGCATATTAGCCTTCTATCCGAATGTTTCCAGGTTCGATCCCAGCAGTCGCCACCAATATTTTTTTTAAAAAATCTAGCAGTAGCTTACGACCCGTCACAGTTGACGGGATTTAACCTTTTTATTTGTATTGAAATGTTGCATGGGTTATTATAGCATCAGTGTCCTTACAGATCGTATGGAATGTGTATTTGTATAATTTTCTCACGAACTAAATTAAAAGTGAAAACACCGCCACGTTGCCAAACGCACCAACACAAAACCGACCGCCTGACTCCAAACTGCACCCCTCAGCCCCCCTCCAGAAGCCTGGTTTGCATTCATTGCTACCAGAGTCGTGACTGTCAGAACTTAATTTAAATATTTTCCGCATCCCACGGGCGGCGTCCATGTTCAGGAAAGCGTGACAGATGTTGGCGATAGGCAATGTCACCCAAACACCTTAATACGAAGGTACAGCCAATTACCGAAACGTCTTGTATAGCGTAAACAGTTTTCAGATAAGTGATAATGCCTACCATAATTACTAAAGAATAATCTACCTGCGTCGGCCGTTCGTTCGGACGTTTTCGGCCCCCCCCCCCAGGCTTCTCGTGTTAATCGGAAATATGACAGCGTCTGAAAGACCGCGCAGATATTTCGTTCAATTGTTTCTTTCGGAAAAGTTTATCGCAATTTTATTTTTCATACTGAGTTAAGAACTATCTTCTTACACAAAATCTTTAATTTTTATGAAATATTTTAGAAGGTAAAATTATCTATTTCATACTTGAATATAATAATAATTTTGCCTAGTCTGTGATATTAGTCATTATTTAACAATAATTTTATATTTGTTTCGCTGCTCCAAAAAAAGTTTGTCTCTTTTCACACGGTCGAAACGATGGTCTGATAGAAATGAACCGGATCGGGAAGGCGGTCTGCAGTTCCGGTTGATGCGATGCAGCTAATACATGTTCGTCTACTGGATATTTCGTAATAATAGAGATAAGGACGTCTGTCTCCTTCCCACGAATTCATTCTTAACCTCGGTAGTTGATGGAAAATTGCCGTCGAAGAGACCGCGATAAACATACTGAACGAGGTTAGGTGGGCCCCAGGACTGGGGACGAACCGTGGTCGGGACTGAAACCCCAGTCGTCCAGTCCTTGTCCATTTGCTGTGCCACACTTGTCCAGGGGTGACGATCTTCAAAAAATGACTATTCTTTTAAGAAATAACAACATTATGGCATCTGCGCCAAAGTTCTTTACATGGCTGTAACTAACGAACCCAGGGAGCATATGAATATTGTATAAAGATATTAAATATACCATCAGATCTTGTTTGAAATATTTTTCACGTCATACGGCTTACAAATATGGCGACTGTACAAATCTTGAGTGAATTTAACGTAATCACATTTTGAAAGCGGGAAATAATATACAAATGGCTCGCTATAGTAAAAAAATTAATTTAAAATAATTCATGCATAGACGGATCTGAAGGGAAATGGACGTAATAAGACTTCGTGTTTCATCAGCAGATGTTATGAGGCTGGTATAACCAGAAGGCTGAACAAGGCCAGCTGTTGGATCTGCGAAGTGTGTAAAGCATCAGATGTTTTATTCGCAATCAGCACAACAGACAGCTGAGAAGCCGGAAATGACCAGCTGAGAATAAGGTAATTGCTGGTATAACACACGCCGTTACAGTGTTCCTGCATTCGCATTCAATTACGGTATCTAGTTTCATTTATACCCAGGGTCAGTACAAGTGTACTTGGCTCTTTAGGTGATATTTAAAATTCAGTTAACTTGATAAAAAAAAGTCGTCTGGATTATTGTACCGTGTAGTCTGGTAGATTTCCACCAATCTTCAGACTCACTGTTATGAAAACCTCAAATCTTATTTGATAAAGGTCGTCATGATATGTGGAAAGTCGTTGTTCGGCGTTTTTTTTACAAAATAGGTACTGAAGGACTTACACGATAGAATTCAAGACCTCAAATAAGGTAAGTGAAAGAGAGACAGGTCCTGCTAGTACAAGATCTGTAATTCAACTGACGATGACGTGTAAAGGTGCCGGCCGATTCGCGAGGCAAAATGTCAGTAGATCTGCCGACATCTCGCATTGTGGACTTCGCTTTCCACAAACAAATCATTTACATCAATAAGATCTCCTATGGAAATCAGCCGCGTTAACTGGTTACCGTAGTAATCCGACGTTTCGGGAACCAATTCATCATCAGGGTTCTGATTTCAGAACCCTGATGATGGGGACAGAGTTGGTTGTACTCGCCGCGAAAGTCTCAAATTATATAAAACAATTACGTTCAATAGCAAATACTGTTAAAATCCTGATACAAATTCCTGATTTGCTTACACTTTATTTTGACATTGCGACAAATGTCTCGAAATGTAACAGAAAAAGGCGAGAAAGACATGACAGTCGCATATTTATATATAGTTCCGTAGTTCTATGTTGGAATTCGAACTTCCTCATGGTTGAAGTCAGGTCAGGCACAGGATTTACAAGAGCCTGGGCACCCCCCCCCCTCCCCCCCGTTATAAGTACCCTAAGTTTCTCAGAACTTCATCACAATCATTAATATGAAATTTCTAGACATTGTGACGAAAAACATTTCATTTAATCCACTAAAAAATAAGACTCGTAAAAATAGTAATAAAAAATATACTTTATGGAGTTACAGCAATTGTAGCAATTAGTGAAACCAGAATTATAAGGCAGATCAGTATTCATGCCTACTTGAGAACTGTGTCCTTAATAACCAGTCCTAAACACACTCGTCATTTGACAATTAGCATAATAGTGTGAACAAGAGATCTCAGACTCTACGCGACTACACGTAAGACGTTTATCTTCATATCTTACTCAGCTAGCATAAGTCCACCACACTGACGAAGACCTCGTAAGAGTCGAAAACGTGATTCTTGTCCGGCATCTTAACGACGTTTGTACTGTAATTGTTCTCGGAAGTAATAATCTGATCGCTTCGCGTTCTTTAGTAAGTAAACTATTGTAAGGTAGTATATTTGCGTCATAGTAAACTAGTAGATTTGTAATTTATCGCCTGCCATTTTGTAACCGTGACTACAACAAAATAGTGTTCATTTTCAGGTGAATCTTATGATACGGGTACTGATAATTCACACATCACAACAGAATTGCAAGTGGGAGGTCGCAAGTATAAAGTACTTTATTCTAAATGTGCAGGGCTTGGGAGTTGGTATAGTCGGCGTAGTAGTTTTTGGCCGGTGAAGAAGCTGGCGGACGGGCCTAGTCTGTGTACCTGAGATGGCACGGTCAGTGTATTTCTTTTGTTTGAGCTCCTCGGTGCAGTCAGCACAAGAGACTCGCTCCTAGCCTTCCCCTTGAAAATTCCACCGGCCAA